ATCAGTAATTTGTGGACGGAATTTTTTTCAGATTTTTACATCAATTACTTTTTTGTTAATACGGAAAATCTAACTTCATTTTCAACTCAAACACCCATAAATCCGTAAATAATAAACGGATTTTATTCAAATTTGAATTATAAGTAGATAATATCAGTAATTTGTGGACGGATTTTTTTCAGATTTTTACATCAATAACTTTTTTATTAATACGGAAAACCTAACTTCATTTTCAACTCAAACACCCAAAAATCCGTCAATAATGAACGGATTTTATTCAAATTTGAAATATAAGTAGATAATATCGGTAATTTGTGGACGGAATTTTTTCAAATTTTTACATTAATTATTTTTTTATTAATACAGAAAACCTAACTTCACGTTCACCTTGCAGGTTAGGTCCTAGTCAGGTCAAGTTTCAGTATTTTGTAGCATTAGAAAAAAGTTATTGATGTAAAAATCTGAAAAAATTCCTTCCATAAATTACTGATATTATCTACTTATATTTCAAATTTGAATAAAATCCGTCCATTATTGACGGATTTATGGGTGTTTGAGTTGAAAATGAAGTTAGCTTTTCCGTATTAACAAAAAAGTTATTGATGTAAAAATCTGAAAAAATTCCGTCCACAAATTACTGATATTATCTACTTATATTTCAAATTTGAATAAAATCCGTTCATCATTGACGGATTTATGGGTATTTGAGTTTAAAATGAAGTTAGGTTTTGCATTAGGGTTCGCAGGCCAGTTCGTACGCGAGTTCGCTGAAGTCTCGGACCGGTAAAATATTACCTGAATGTTCGATTTTTGTTTTTTTTGTTTTTAAGACAATTGAATATAAACTACACGGAAAACAAGTAATTCTTGACAAGTGTATTGCTTCTACAAATCGATGATCTTTTTTTTCTGTGGACGCACCTTTTTACTTCTATAATCTTTTTATGCACTCAAAATACCATCCTAGAAGATGTAGGGAATTGTATTCATTATATAGTGAAAGACTTGCTCGTAGTGCTCTCATGTCGATGACTCGCTAGTATATAATAGTAAGGCAGTGAACAACTAATTACTGAGGGAGCACCTAATTTAGCATCACGCGTCGTTTCCTTGCATTGCGTTCCCGATGCGCTCGTCAGCTTTCGTTTGTTACATTAATATCGGGTTTATGCCGTTTGTTTGAAAATTGTGTTCATATACGTCAGTAACCATATAATTGAATCAAAATTCGTTCACAATTTCTAGACTAATCCAGCCGATGCGGAACTTATTTGGAACAATCCCAAAATTGGTCAGGTCTCTGTGCATGCAGTTAGTTCAGGTCAAGACTTAGACTGCTAACAGATCAGAGTTGCACCCGCCGTTAACCCGCGTTTCGATGAATTTCGTCCCTTAGACATTCAGAGCACTGGGCAGAAATCACGTCGCGTCAACACCCGACAGGGGCCGTCGCGAAACTTTGTTTTAATTAAACAGATTTCCCAGAGCCAATAACAGTTCTCAGTCAGCCGCCAACCATACAAAGTTCTATGCCATTGGTCGCCCTACTCAGCAAGAGAGTGCCCCGAAAGAAGAACATCTCTCAAGATAAGCGATGGACGCCCCGCACAGGGGCGCTGCAATGCACGCACAGTGCAATTTGAGAATGAAACGCGCGAGCATCGAGGAGCGGTGCGATTGCCGCAAAGCAACACACGCGACATCCCTGAGCAGCACACGAGCTTACACACGTAGACACCGCTCGACTTGGAACAATCGCGAGGCATTGGTGCGGGCAACAGATTGCAGGGCGTCGGCTTGTACTCGACTCGAGTCAATCCTTTCGAGGGTCTTTTAAGGCACTTCATGTCGAAATTCAAACCCTTTTTGACGCATTTTCTCATTTATGGAAAAAATGCACTATTGTGCTCGCCATGTCCGTCTGTCTGTCCGTCCGTGACTTCGCGTTTTTGTCGACGAGAAAATGCGCTCTCTGTCACTCTCTGCAGTGAGTACTGAGTTATATTTTTTCCTTCAGGGCCTCCCCCTGCAGCAGGTCGCGTCTGAGGGTGGCGATCGCTAAACGAGTTCACCAATCCAACTTGAATTTTCATCAATCCAACTGGAGCGAAGGTCAAGTGGCTCCAGCTTGTCATGAATCTCAGTCTGTATTTTGGCTCTGGTTTCAACAGCTTCATCTTGCTACATGTTTCTTAAGTCGATCGTTTTCCGCCTTATGATCTTGGTTCATCATTTTTGCGTGGGCGGCAAAGTTCAACGTCAGCCTCGTCACATCCAGGGAGGACTGTATTGGAGACACGTTGACCCATTTAAGTAGCACCTCCGATGTCTCCTCATTAATAGGAGGCAAACATTATTAAAAACATGATTTTCATCGATAAATACATTTTGAGGAAAAGAAAATTAAATGAGGAAAATTTTCCTCGGTAAGACATAATTTTCCTCACATTTCAGCAACAGTCCGTAATATATCATTTTTGAAACCTATACCAATTTAAATTATAAGAAACAGATAAACTTGAAATCCGAATAAGAGTCAATCGACTTGGGTTTGACTGTTCCTGCTGTAGCTGTTGCTGGGCTACGAGCTCGTCAATCTTGCATGCCATTTTCTCCATTGCTGCCGTTTGAGCAGCCACATACTCTTGCAAATTGTTCTGAACAAAAATAAACAATTGTAATGAATCTGATGGATCGACAGCCAATACAAAAGATATAAAAACTAAAACATTTTAATTGATTTTCAATAGAGAATTGAACTCGCTAGAAGGTATNATTATAGGAGCTCCAGGAGATCAGCTTTTAACGTAACAATGGGGATGAATGCGTTGCTACGCGAATGTACTATAACATACGTACGTAATAAAAAATTGTGAGTAAATAGAAGGGCTAATAATTAACTAGGATATCTCATTGCCCTTCAATTAGAAAAAAAAAACAGAAAATTTCAAATCAATTAAAATATTACTACTGACATTCAAGACATTTTTTTACCATGCATTGGAAGAGATTTCAGTGCAATTGATGATTAGGTGAAACACTGCAACATACATCTTACTATTAAAAAATACATGTCTGACCTGGCAGTAAGAAGACTTTTCATTATTATTATTATTTAAATCTAACCTTGCAGATTGCAGTAGCCATGTGATGGTTGCCGGAGGCGCGTGCGCTGACGACTCAACTTGGAAACAGCAGCCCTGAGTTTATATCGCGGCTTTCCTTCAAACGCTGCCCCCTTGCACACTCTTAATATTGGCGCACTCTCTCTACAAAAATTAGTCACTTAAACATACTTGCAAAATTTGCTGTAAGTAGGATATATTTTTAATGGACTATTACTCCCTTAACACTCCAGTAGTGGGATCCTTAATGAGGAACAATAGTAAAATTCGCAGTTCATCTCACTATTGTACGGGTTTTTATTTAGGGGAGACAGCGCCCGTGACAGGTAGAGGGGGGCGGTGAGGGGAGACAGCGCCCGTGACAGAGGGGGACGGTGAGGGAGACAGCGCCTGTGACAGGTAGAGGGGGCGGTGAGGGGAGACAGCGCCCGTGACAGGTAGAGGGGGTAGGTTAATTCCCTCAAATAATCGTGTTCTGAATTCTTATAGGCTAGCGTGACCTGGCCTCTTAATATAGAAACGCATAATTATTTGATTGTTCAGGGTTATTGCGGTATTATTCAGCTGTGTTATCAATAAATGTGTTTTTATAATTATCGTTATAAAATTTCATATTAATATTCAAGCTCACTTTTAACTTTTATAAGTGTGCTTGTAGAGTCTCAGCAAAATGTTCACGGAACGCATGAGTACTTTACTAAGCGTTATTATTCGAAATTATTTGTCATCGCGTTGTCTAGGAAATATTTGGGTAGACTCGAGAGGAAAAAACATGCAGTAGTTGTGTACTGCGCTGAAACACAGACTTTTCTTTTGCTGTCATTAGCTGCGTAGGAAATAATGTGAGCACCACCGCTGTTGCAGACATGGATGACATGGATTAGACAAAAAACATATTTTTTAACCTCATTTCTCAGGAAATTTGTGTTATTGCTGAGAGCAACCAGACGCCCAGATGACAAAGCATGAGAAACGAAGCACCGACCTTCAACCGTTGGCATTGTCTCAACATCAACAACGTTCTGCGCCGACCGAGCGTATAGTCCGCGTGTGAGCACGCCTCAAAAAGGTGAACTCGTTCGCGGGGACTCGTTGAATGAACAACTGTTCGTTGTCAACGAGGTCGCTTATTTTACGGAGAATAGTGAATTACGGTAGTGATGGTGAAGATAAATGGTAACGAATGTTACAGTAGTTACAGTGAAGGTCTATGGTAACGAAAGTTACTATGGTGACAGTGACGATCAATGGTAACGAACGATTCAGTAGTTACAGTGAAGGCCTATGGTAACAAAAGTTACGATAGTGACAGTGACGAGCAATGGTAACGAACGATACAGTAGTTACGGTGAAGGTCTATATGCTAATAAAAGTTACGATAGTGACAGTGACGACCAATTGTAAAGAACGATACAGAAGTTACGGTGGGGGTCTATGGTAACGAAAGGTACAACAGTGACAGTGACTATCAATGGTAACGAACGATACAGTAATTACAGTCAAGGTCTATGGTAACGAAAGTTACGATAGTGACAGTGTATGGAAGCCTGGTAACGATTGGATTACTAATTTTGTGTTGGGAGTTGAAATTTTAAAACCTGCTTCGGGAAGAAATACTTTTATTTATTTATATAGCGAATCTTAATTGACAGGCCCAGCAGCATACATGTAAATGAATATAAAATCCTGCAATTTATTTGACAACAAAGGATAATTGGAACTTTATGCTGGTTAGGGGAATTTAATAGTTTGATAATTGGAACTATGTGTTGATTTTGAAATTTATATTGTAGGGCAATTGAAACTACATTTTGATTGTGTGATTTGAATTGTAGAATACTTGAAACAACGCTGTCATTTTGCGATTTAAATTGTAGGATAATTGGACAAGTGCGTTGATGGTGAGATTTTAATTGGTGTGACATATGAGAACATTAGATGCAATGGAGTCACGCGATGGGTTACGGAACGTGATTTTGAGCGACGGCTGCGTGGGAAGACACTCTGACAGTGAATATTCGGGAGACTCGCCAACGCATCGCAATTCTTCTTTGATGACCAGGAATTCTGAGAGCTGCAGCAGCACGGTCAGTGAATCATATATGTTCTTAGCGCTGGCAGCTGCACTGATGGTTAATCGGTAATATTAATTTATACGTGGCCTAATTCCTACAGTCACAGTGCGATATGTTGAAATATTACCAAAACAGTGCGTTTCTATCGTATTGACTCTAATGACAAGAAGGAAGTTTAAAATATGCTTTCCGACAGAACTGATTTTCAAGTAATAACTTCAGCCACGGGAAAATAGTTTTTCAACTGCCATGTATCTGAAACTTTATATCGAAAAACTCATCATTATTTATCATTGATTAGACAATTGAAACATTTTAGAGTTCAGATAAGACGTAGAAAAGAAGAGGACCCACATTATCGGTAGATAGTAGCACAGGATAGTTTATTGATGCCCTTTTATTATTTATTTGCGCATTTCTGGCAGTTGTAATTTCCTTGACTTGGTGATAAAAATGCCACTATCAGTTTTCATTACACATTTAAAAATATCACATAAAATGCCACTACCAGTATTTTTTACACATAAAAATGCCACTACCAGTTTTTCATCCAAATTTAAAAATGTCACATAACATGCCACTACCAGTATTTTTTACACATAAAAATGCCACTACCAGTATTTTTTACACATGAAAATGCCACTACCAGTTTTTCATCCAAATTTAAAAATGTCACATAACATGCCACTAACAGTATTTTTTACACATAGAAGTGTAAAATTTTCACATTTTTCAACTTGTTAGTTAACCTTCCACATATTGACACGAAAGCGTTGGTTAGGGTACAAGCGCACCAATATGGCCAAGAGCCAGGATTTCTAACAACTCGACCAAGTGCCCTAGATGGAATTTATGTACGAGACTATTAAACAGTCAACATTATTGACTATCTTATTTTGTTCTTTGTATTTATAGGACCGTTTATAGGACCTTTGTATTTTGTTGACCGGTTTGTCCCGGTCAAACATGCTAGGTATCTTGTTCTTGTCGTTTGCTATTACTGATTTTTCAGTTCAGTCTTCACATTGATAAATAATTTACCCGTACGAATCAAGCACATTGAGATCACAAATCTCGTAAGAAAGCTTCACGTTTTAGTTGTAAATTTTACAATAGATTATCGATAGTTTAGGAATATGTCGGCAACATTTCGAACGAACCGTTAATGATCACGAACTATTACATATTCCGACATCCTTATGAAAAGATCCGTCTATTAACCATTAAATAGATAAATTACGGCATCCATCCAAATGGCACGGCACGAAATAGAAGGCAACTGCATGCATGACCACCGGCCTTGCCAACACGCAGGTGCGTTTGCTTGCATCAGATAATAGGGCGCGAGGCGGCGACGAAGGTCAAGACGCGCTCTAAATATTTCGAAACACTTTCTGAGTTTGGCTCGCACTTTCGTGACCGCGAATTTGAAATCCTTCGAACTCTTCTATTTTGTTATTAAATTTATTGTGCACTATCCTTTCATCTATAATCCTCAAAAATTCATTATTTCTCATAAAATGAAAAAATACTCTTCAAGAAGTCATGTTACCTCTATTCAGAAAAAACAGTAATATACATGAACAAATATACTTTTTTTCGTACATGACTTCCTTATTAGCTTCTTTGTTCTTTACCATTCCCCTTTCCTTCGCTATTGGCAAATTACCTTGAATGTTTACTCCTGACGCCCAAAATTATTGAAACTTCAAGTTGATAATTAATTTGAAATCGAGAGGTCTAGTTAGAAATTTATCACGATTAAAGCATCGCAAATCCCGAAATTCCACGAACTTTTTCTGACGGCTTTTTACACTGCAATAACTCTTTGGGTGTTTTCATATCTATACAAGTTCGATTCAAGTGGTAATGATCACCAAGATTAGAGCAGCGAGTTGGGGGTTGGAGACCCAAGACTAGCTGTGAAAATTCAAGTCGAAATCATGACAGGTAGTCGGATGGTAAAGGAGCGGCTATACAGGCCAGCATGGCCTAATATCAGATGACATCATGATTTATTTAAAAAAACGTGTTAAGAAGTAGTTTGCAGGCGCTAGAATTTTTTATATAACACCTCATGAGACTACTCACCACTCGACCAAAATAGTGCATTTTAACCACTTTAGGTTAGCTTCAAAAAGTTCAGCCGTTGCGAAAATATTACTTGAATGTTCGATTTTTTTTTGTTTTTAAGACAATTGAATATAAACTACACGGAAAACAAGTAGTTCTTGACAAGTGTAATGCTTCTACAAATCGATGATAATTTTTTTCTGTGGACGCACCTTTTTACTTTTATAATTTTTCTGCTCTTTCTTTTTTTTACAGAAGATGTAGGGACTTGTACTCATTATATAATTTAGCATGAGCCTTGAGAATGAAATGAGTTAGTTGCTATTCATTCCGAGGAACCAATGTATAAATATTACAGCGAAATATAGTGAAAGTCTTTTGCTCGCGGTGCTCTCGCGTCGATGACTCGCTAGTATATTATAGTAGGGCAGTGAATAACTAATTACTGAGGGAGCTCCAAATTTAGCATCACACGTCGTTTCCTTGCATTGCGTTCCCGATGCGCTCGTCAGCTTTCACTTGTTACATCAATAGCACGAGACGCCAGCTGCAGGTGGCTAAGATTAGTCGACCGACTTCCCACTTTTCCGAGTCTTGGCAGTGGTTTGGCCTTCAAGTTGCTACGAAAATTGAAATTATAAAATAAAATGATATCAATTCAAACTTGTCCTTGAGATCAATTATTAGGTACATACTTACCGACTGATGTGAAGTATACCTACGAATCCTCGTGTGTACTCACTGTAGTGGTATAGGAACATATTGATGTGGATGATAAACTGTCTTCTCTTTTTCCAAGTAATAATTTAGATGAATAAAACTATATTCTAGTCAAACAATGTTTGAAACCTATTTGGTCTTCAGGTTTACCACATCAAATAGAGTTTTTTCCAGTGAGTACTGAAGAGAAATAAAAGGGCTCGAAAACTTTTGAAATCTTTTTGAACATGTAATGACAGATAATTTTTAGACTTTAAAATGACACGATTTCATTGTCGTTGCTCTAAAAATTGAGAACGTTTGTCCCAGTTGTCATCGCGAAAACTTATATCCGAAAAATTATTTTGCTATAAACTTATAATTTATTTATAGATTATATCCGCCAAATTATTCCGCTATAAACTGAAAAAATGCGTTGCAACTCATCCACGCTACAACATTTCTTCTCGCTTCGAATCTACGACTTGTGGAACAGCCTCCCCGATTACATCGTTGACACTCCGAGTATTAACGCGTTCGCAAGAACAGACTAGATGAAGCTATGGAAAAATATATAGGTATTCAGACTTCAAATGCCTAGCACCATATCGAACCTGGTGGAAGTCTAGTAGGTAGCTATTTAAACCTATCGTCAGTTTGGAAAAGATCCGGTCAGAGGACCTGTTTTTAGATACCGTCTAAACAAGTAATGAAAAGTGCTAGAATCGGCGACAGGCCACATCAGGCTTATTCTTCAGCGACGACATCACTATATTATACTACTATACTATATATTCAGAGCAAATCAACACAAATGGCAGACAAAAGCCAGGAATGTCAAGGCATGTTTCCTTTGGCACGATGCAAGGGCCAAAGCCAAAGGAAAATGACTGTCCTTATACTTATTTTAGTTCTTTTCATTTCTTCCGGAGACCCGAAGAAATGAAGCAGGTCGGAACTTGTAGGGTTGCCCGATGACCTAAAAACGGCCATTTTTTGCAATTTTTAAAATTTGACAAGGAACCATCGCCATCATAAATTTTAGTCTACCAACACAATTGAAAAAAGATCGCGGTATTTGTCCGGAAAAAGACCATCTGGCAACCCTAACCGGAAGTGTGAAAAGATAGGTTAAGATACCTCTAAAAGCGAGCAATTTACGCCTACGCGAAAATATCGATGTGAAAAGGTTTTAGTGATAGACGAAATTATGCTCGTGATTTACGAGAACACAAATGATGACTGTTTTAAAACAGGCTGATGCTCAGCTTTCCTGGATAAGGTTGCACGAAGTTCTCGTTATCAGGTGAACTAGACAGAGTATTAAATGGAAAAGAGGAAGTTGCGATAAGATATGTACATCGTTTCTCGCCAAGTCGTAATAGATTGTTTACCTAGTTTGGAAGAAGAAAACCGTAGTAAACTTTATACCTTATTGTAGACAGTTTATGGGTCTGTCATTGGCAGTTCTTGTTAGACTTCATTTTGCTAGAGGTGATTTCAAGGTCATTTAAAACTTTACTGTGTTCTGATACTCATCATGCTTGGCGCATACAGTATATATACGTGAAGTTTTTTTGGGGGATTTATATTTCGTTTTGTTTGTCACTTTCTTTATCAGGTGCAGTTTCTGCCAGTCTCAAGCTATTGAGGTAATGATTGCCATGTGATCCTGCTAATAGTAATAGCATTTTAGCTATAGCTGTGTTGTTAACAGACTTCGCTAAAAATTTTCTAGTAAAATTTGAAATGTTTTGTCAAAATTCTTTGTAGCGCAAAAACATAAAAAAATTACGATATACAAGTACTATATTTTACCGTTTGTAGCCCAACAAAGTATAAATACTGCGGCATTCCCGTTTAGATGTGATTGACGGTAGTTAGTCGATTCGCGGCCCTTAGTCAAACGTTGCTTTCTTACTCTGTGTGCCAGTAAACAATTAACTTTAGCAACAGTTTCATCAGAGCTTTGAACGTCAGACAGCCTTGAGACGTGAAGGCTGATTCAGCATATTGATTTGTTGTCATGCTACGACTATTGATGGAGTATAGATGATTAGTCAGTGGATGTTTTACCATAAGAGAAGAGAAGATTGTTAGGTACTATACCTTCTGTTATACATACGCTACTAGGTTATTAACATTTAGAAGGTGATTGATATACCTATCTTCTGTGTCAGAGAAGTAAATAGTGTTCACATGAAAGTGTTAATAGATAGGCAGTGTTGGAAAAGAAAATC